TCATTGTATTTCAGATTGTTATATGTTAAAATTATCCGACCCCTTCTTAGCAGAATGTTTGTAAATATAAGGCTAGATTACTATCTTATTCCTTCATATCTCTCTCCCTTTAATTAGTCCTTCATTATTCACCTCATAGTGGCAATTTAACACATGAAACATTAAAGTACAAGTTGATTTGTATACATGGAAATAATCTCTATCTCACTTTTGTCCTAAATATCTCTAACTGGTTCCATCAAGAAGAACTTCCCTTTCTATGTACAAGCAAAACACATTTAATTTTCACCATCACTGGTCTTCAAGCAACCTCTCCCATTTCAGATATAAATTTTACCACGTTTCAATTTCTGTTTCGAGAGGCAGGAATCTCTGGCTTTTCATCATTCTTCTTTGCCTTAGGATGCAGGGCTTATTTATAATTTATTGAAAAGGGGGAGTGAGGGGGGAAGTTACAGAAAGCCCTCACTTTATTGAAGGGACATTTTGATCACCTTTCCCCTCACCCCCAACTTATCTTATCACAATGTTCACAGGAACAACATATCAAATATTCCCACACCTTTTTCAACATTTCATACCTTGAAAAGAGGATTGAAATAAAATTGCCTGTAAAACTATATCTCTATAGTTGCTATATGCCATGAGAAGCAAACCACTATACATAAATCGGATAGTTTCAAACAGTCAATAAATTAGATGCTGCTCCTTAACTTCATACCACTTTTGCTGATTTTCTATTTCGTATTCCTCGATGAAGATAAAGCACGGCATGAGACATTTATGTTTGGACCATTTCCATTCTTCTTTATTTCCAGTGACTATTTCTAGCAAACAAACTAAGCATATCTAATCAGAAAACTAATAGATAAAATGCCTCATTATATCACTTGGAGGTACCAAATCCAAGCAACTAAATACTAATTAATGATGCATATCAAAAGAAATACCTCAACTTTTTAAGGAACATATTTTTTCAATTATAAGAGATACTAACAGTAGGCGAATTCACTAGTAAAGCTTAACATAAGCCGTGTTAAAAAAAAAAAAAAAAAACGTTTAATTCATATTAAAATCACCAATTATTCATATTCTGGAAAATCAAGATCGTAAATTAAACAGTCACAGAACCGATTTCGTGATATTGACAATAAAGAGAATTGAAAATTCATCAATAAATAATCATATTTTCACTCATCAAGATCCAACTATCAATTATAGAACCTCATAAAAATACAATTTGAAGAATCATAAAAACTAGAAAGAAGTCACAAATATAAGCAACCGAACCTTGCGATTGATGAAAGTGAACTGTGCAGAACATCCTTGGCAATGTGACGCATCAGTCACCCAATTATTCCCCCGAAGTGATGGTTTTGGGGGTAACCCAATTTTCTCTAGCATCGTCTTTCTAGTATCTCCGTTGAAATCAGAATAATCAAACAACTCAGAATAATGAGAGGAAATTATAACGAGTAAGAATAAAGGGATCGCTGACTCTCTCGAAGATAATTCTACATCAGGATGGAACGGTGAGAGAAAAATAAAGAACCCTAAGTTTGAAATTTTTCAAACTAGCCCACTCTTCTAGGCAAAAATGAAATGAGTCCCTCTGCTTAAAATTTTATGAGCCCCCGCACCCCCCCTCCCCCCTTTTTTTTTTCGAGGTAAAATGAGTTTTGTAATGATGATTTTTTGTGAAGTGTGCTCCACAGTTGTTTACTCGAAGCCAACAACTTGCAAATTCCACCCCTGCTACGATTACAGCATCATTTTCCTCTTTACCCTCTTAGTCAACCTTTAACCGATGCAACATATGCGATCATATGCAATTTTTCTCTCTCATTATTTAAACTTGAAGTATATCATTTGAATAATCTTTCTTTGTCGAGTCAGCGATGACCACAATTATACGAACTTTGCAGTGAGAAGGGACATCATCGATACAGATCATGTCGCCTATCTTTTCTATGATTTGGCGGACAAGTCCACCTTTCCTCTTGACGCTTTCGGTCATGGTAGCAGGACAGAGGACGCAGAAGAGGCTTTCGTTGGCAAAGAATTTTAAATTCGAAGGTGAATGATGGGAGATTGGGGATCGAGGTGTTAAGGAGGATACATGCAACGGTTGGCGGAGTTTGGCTAAGGGCTAATGTCAAGTTATTTGTGGCGGTATTGTTGTTGGCGCGATAGGGGTGTGTGAATTTTAGACTTTGTGGTTGGGTTTATCCCTTGTTTGGAGGAAATTCTCACCAATTTTTTATTAATTGGACTGTTGAACTGAAAGTGGGCTCCTTCCAACTGTGAAAGTCTAACTCAAAATAAGTTGATTTTCCATAAATGTCCTTTCAAAATTAGTGTTTTATATGTCAAAAGGGCACGTATGTAATTCTGTATTTTATGGTCAATAACGGTGGCTGGTTTTTACTTTTTTACGGTAAAAGAAATGCTAAAAATTTCCTCCAAACAACCGCTAGATGACGTAGGGGTTGGGTGTTTTGGCGATGGGGGTGAGAAGAAGATTGAAATGTTTTTATTTTTGTTTTGTTTTTTTTAGATAGCAATTTGACCATTTTGACTTTCACTTAAATGGTCATGAGTAAAAAAATGAATTTCTTGGTCTAATGACGGATGGATGGACGGATTTCAACCATGCGTCCATCTGTAATGGTTAGTAACGGTTTGAGACCTCAGCTGCCAAAATGAAAGGTTTGGGTATGTTCTGTTAAGTTTTGAAAGGTTATGGACCCAACTGCTATTCTTCCCTTCTTAATTACACAAAAGACATCCACTTTTTACTTATTGTTATATTGGTGTATTGTTCTTATTTTTTGTAACATTCTTATCGTTAATCTCCCGTTAATTAGTCTATCCGGTCACTTATGATGATTTCTAACCGAATTTTTTGATGATGTGTTTTGGAATAGGGGGTAAATTTATGCACTCTTTTATTTGTTGTTTTTTGGTTTATTTAAAAACATTATGGGAAGATAATTCTTTTTACACTACCAAATGGTCAATGTTATGTTTTTGTCTGCGTTTTTTCCTTAGTTACGTCGAGTAAAATTATTCAATCTAGATAGTCATAGGTCATGTGGGAATGTGACCATTGTCACATTATCCAATAAAGTTTAATGTATTTTTAAATATTGAAAAATTAACAATCTACTTGCACGACAGTCCATTATGTATTTTTTTTAATTGTTTTAATATCTCAATAACACAATCGTGATTCATCACTGGTGCAATTATAAATCATGGTTACATCAACATGGATAAATAGAAGATTATGATCAAGAGATCCTAATTTTGCAATAGCTTGTCCACTCGAAAATACTTTCTTAATCAACCTCTTACGACTACAATTACATTACCCTCAATAATAAAATAAATAAAGAGAAAGACAAGAAGAAGAAGAAATATATTTACATTACAGCACTGAATTGGCGTTGGACTACTTACTGCATAGAGAGGATTAATTTTACAAGAAAGTTGATCTCTTTTGTAATTTTTTTTTCCTTCCATTTTGATGCAGTCTCCAACTCCGACACATAAATGCATTTAATTGGAATGGTTAATTTTATTTATTTAACTACGGTATGATATATACAGTGGCGGATTCAGAAAAAAATTCAACACGGACTAATACGTATAAAAAAAATATTGCACATAAAAAAAAATTGCTAAAATTTTAATGGACATTTGGGCCGAAGGGACGGGTTGTAGCGCGGCCCAACCCGTCACTGGATCCGCCCATGGATATATATTTTGTTAAGAATGTAAAGATTTAGGACGTTGGAGTTTAGGTTGTAACTTGTAAGGTAGCCATCCACCCATATAGTTGTTTTGTCTTTGCTTCAATTGAATTAAAAATTGGAGTATTCTTCCAGTTCTTGATCCAATCTTGATATTTTGTCGAATCAACAAAACGTGATATTGTGTAATATTCTTGCTAAGTTTTGTTTGTATCAATTGGTATTAAAGACAATTTACACGTCTAAATATGCTGTCTCAGAGACGTGTTGTTCATATATATGGAAATAATATAGAAGTCTTGTTAAATTATTACGAGTGAAATATCCAAATGGTCATAGAATTTTGTAAAAAAATTTCATGGGGTCACTGAATTTTAAAAATCATCAAATTCATCATTGAACTTTTCAAAAGGTTTTTACGGAGTCACTGACCCTTAAAAATCATCTTATTTATCACTGAACTATGCAAAAAGTTTCCATGGAGTTACTAAACTTTGCAGAATATTTCATAATTTAGTGACCACTGGAAAACCTTTTGTAAAATTCAGTGATGAATGAAGTGATTTTTAAAGTTTAATGACTCTGTATAAACTTTTTGCAAAGTTTAGTGAGGAATCGGATAATTTTTAAAATTTAGTGACCCGTGAAAACCTTTTACAAAGTTTAGTGACCATTTGGATAATTCACTATCCTGAATAGTTTAATGTTTGTTTGTTTCTTTCCTTCTTAACTTCAAAAGCTAGTTTACAGTTTCATCTTCTCAACACAAGATGGATAATCCCGTAAATTCAATATGTAAATTATTTTTTGAAATTATTTCGTTATAATTTTGTTTAGTGTAAACTTGAAAATCAAACCCCTACTTAACTATCCATTATGTTTTTACGTGCATTTATGAATTGAACGTTAATTTCCCTAATGGTTTGATAACAAAGTGACTAACATTAAAAATAAATAGGAATTCAGTTATTTAATTACGACAAATTAAACATGAGTAACTAAATTGAATCTTTAACGAAAGTCTAGTGACCAAAGTTGATATTAATTATGTGACCAAACATCAATAGTCCATTATGTTTTAACGTTTGTGTATAAATTGGACGATGATTTCACTAACAAGACTACAAGAGGTAACATAAAGACTAAAAAATATGTTCTTTCCCTTGTTATTTCTCAACTTTCATAGAGAAATAATGTTACTCTTAGCTGTTATATTATACGAATAGACAGAATAGGGAAGAAAATAATAATAAAGAGATCCTCAAATTACAAAAGGTTGGTCTTTCCATTAATTCATGCAACATATTTCTAACTAGTTGGCATCTCAAAACGGCAAACTGGACAATAATGACTTGTTTTCAACCATTTTGTAATGCAATTACCATGAAAGATATGAGAGCATGGCATATATGTAACTTTATATCTTTTGGAGAACTCGTCCAAGCATATTGTACAATACTCAGAATTACCATTCTCGTCATCTAATTTCTTCCTCTTGAGTTCTTTGATTGATGAGTTACTAGCCGGAATCATATTATGCTGCAATATCTCATTAAACATCTGTGATTCACCAACAGTAAAATTATATATCGTATATACATCAACATCGATAAATAAAACATAATGACCAGGAGACATAGATTTTGCCATTGCTCTTGTTTTCGAGAACACTTCTTTAATCATATTTTCTCGATGACATTTACATAGTGGCCAAGTTTTGATAGCATCAATGATGATTTTACGTGTCTTTCTATATGACGAGAACTGTTCAGGTTCCACCAGTATGTAAGCTAACATTTCTTGCAGTTGAATTTCTTCTACGACTTGTTCGCCTTGTCTAAAATTGGTCAAACAACACATGCTTTTCCAAGAAAAATCGTACATGATTTGAAAGGAGGAGGACATGAGTGGGTTGTGGCATGCAACTTCTTCTTCTCCCCTCTTTGTAATTTCAAGGTATACATCTTTATGGAATTGATAGTTACTAACCATGTTATAAAGAGAGAGAGGGAACCAATAAGAAACTACGAATATGTTGCCACGACTTGAGCCTTGAAGGTGTATATATATATAGAGGGCGGGGGTATCCGTCTGGCATGAGGATCGCAGTTAATGGTAACTACAGGTTTCCTATTGCTTTTAGATATGGAAACAACATAAAATCCTTGTTAACTTAGTAACCTTATAATTTCAAATTTGTTTGTTTCTTTCCTTGTTAACTTCACGACTTATTAACCCTGAGGGATAGTTCAATGGTCAGACCTTAAGTTTGTTCCTCAATAATCACCAGTTCAAGTCCTCTCAAAGTCACTGACGTGAGTACCAAGCTGTAAACTTCAGGGTCTCGTTGGATTAGTCGAGATACACGTAAGTTGGCCCTGACACCCACGGTCATTAAAAAATAATAATAATAAATAAATAAACTTCTCAAATTATTATTATTATTTGAAGGCTGCAAATTATTTCTTAGCTATCGTGTTGTAATATAATGTAATATAAATCGCCTATTTCTTGGTAAGTGCATATTACCTATTACTTGTAGGTATGGAAATAATATAGAATCCTTGTTAAATATTATGAACCTTAAATAATTTCACTAATTCTCCAACGTGTAAAACTACGATAGCTTTAAATTCTTGGAAGAAAACCTTCACAGTTAAACTATAACTTAGAGAATAAAATCGGAAATAATAATTTTATTTACAAGTTAGTTTGTGGGTTGCAAAAAATTATTTTATAGAAGAGAAAATTGGAAGAAAATTTGTGAAACATCAAAATTCACTGATTTGGTGAGTTGAAAAATACAGTTACAATTATGCTACATCGATTTTGCGTCAAAAAACTAAGTACTGATTTTCCTAACCTCTCATAAATATATCACTTAAAAACGATTAAAGTCGGTAAAAAAAAAATAATTAAATAAATAAATTCCCAAACATGCCCTAAAAAAATCTTATGTCGGGATTGAATTAGGTCGTGACGTCTTCACTCATCGCTATTTCATAATGGTACCTCGTGGCTCGTTGTATTGTGCTCTAACCAAAGGTGGCTCTGTTAAAGAAAATAACATTACGATCCAAAGTAGCTCATGTTATATTCTATCTATATGTTCATAAAATAGTCTTCAAGTAAATACAAAAATTTAATATCCAGCTATACGACACGACAAATCTCTCTGAATCATCAATCAACAGAATTAAATGCGACGTCAAGAGTTTGACAATATTTGAGTCACTCGAAATATTTTCTTCAGATTTCATGGTGCCTATATAGGATCCCTGTTGTGTTCTAAGCTTCATGGAAAGTTCTTGGTGGAGTCGATGTATCACTAGCGGGAACCATGTTACAATTTTCTTTCATTGACCGCTGCAATATCCGATTAAAAATAACCCTTTCATCAACAACTCGACGACGAATCACTTTTACATCGACGTGCACGAACACAAGGTTGTGGTTCGATGAAGCACATTCTTGAATCTTGATCAAATCTTCTCGTTCAAAATCCCGAACCGGCCGGCCAAGATTTGAGAGCTTCGAGGATGATTTCTCGAGCCTCGTCGCTGCCGTGGAACTGTTCATGACTGATACGTACAGATTTTGGGATAACAGATGGATGAGTTTCAGTTGAAACAATATGTAAATCCCTAAGTTGGATAAAAAGGTACGTAAGTTGACAAGAAAAATCGATATTAATTTGAAGCATGGAGATGGATTGGTCGTTAGGTGTAATGGTTTCTTCGCCTTTCTTTGTAATGTCAAAGTATACTTCTTGGTGAGACTGAGTAACCTTTCATGTTAGATTATTTTGAAGGGAAAACTGTGGGTCTGTACATATTAAAATTCCTTTTCCATGTCGAGAAGGGAAACATTAACGGCTAGAATGATTAAAAAGTTACCATATACAGTATGATACAAAAAAATGTAAATATTGGGATTGAAAATCGAAGAACATATATACTGTGAAATTCTTTATTTTCTTTTGTATTCTCATTTCTGTCTACTACAGATGCATGATCATGGCGCGTGATGAATAAATTTTAATATTATAATAGATAAAATATAATTTTATAAATTCAAAAATATTGTAAAATTATGAGATAATTATTTAGTATTATCGAAATATTTAGATAAGTTTTATCTACTCTAGAAAAGTCTAGAGTATGAACTCTATAAATATGAGATTTTGATATTTTTTTTTTCTGTTGTGCCTGTACGATAGGGGAACCTACAACCGCTACCCTTCGGGAGTGCACTGGGTAAACCCTTGAGTTGACGCAATAGCTTGCAAATCACGTCGGCCAGGTAAACTGCACTAAGCAGGTCCGGTGCAATAAGTTCGATAAAAAAAGTATTGGTAGGGGAATCGAACTCATGACCAAAGGTCTCCTTGCTTACTTATTCTACCAACTTGACCACTCCATGACGGGCTTGATTCTCTCAGTTTCTTCTCTTATGTTTCTCCGGTTTCTTTAATTTTATAACAAGCTATCAACACAAACCTCAAATCAAAATGAGTGAGTTTAAAATAGTAATAACTTTCTATGTGTATATTCTTGGTGGTTGATAGTTTTTTAAAATCAATTTTGCAGAATTTTTTCCACAGTCATAGGCCAAATAGAATAAATACATAACCATAAAAATTTTACAATCTCACCATCAACCAGTAAATCCATAGTATATTCCTCCCGTGTGCTCTAGTCACCTATAGAATCTGTCCACTAAATTCACGTGTCAACAATGCTATGGTGATCGAATTTTTTTGACATAACAGTTGACCGACACTCATAATGGAAGGAACCCACCTCTTTTTTGACTTTTTTATTTACATGGGACCCACTCGCATGTAAGAGAATATCAATCATTATATCAAAAAAAATCCAGCAAAATAGTTTAATTCTTCACGTGTACATTTTCATTCATTCACGTATAGATTCTCTCGACTAATCCACGTATATAGATTTCCACTAAATCCATGTAATATGCAATCACTACGGATACAATTTACATATGATTACATTGACCTATCATGACTGCAAATATCCTTAAAAAATTTTTGCAAAAATTTGTTTCTATTTTTTTTTTTTTTACGCAAAATTTTTTCTTTGTTAATGTCTAATAACACTTGTGTATGCATCTTTGTCTTTATTTTTCTTATCTCCCGATTAATTATCACGTTATTATTCTTCTGAATACGTAGCATAGTTTATGATTTTAGTACTCTTATATCTATTTGTTACAAAATATTGTTGCTCCTAGAGTAGAACGCTATTATTTACTTTAATATTTTCGTTAAATTTTACTTATTTCCGAAGGGCATAATTATGTAAGATCTAACATAAATTATATATTTACTCCTAAAAGTAAATCCTTACATAATTTCATATTCTAAACAATAATATGTTATTGATCTTGATGGACATTATATTACAATTTCAATATTCTAGTAGAATATTAACATATTTTACTTTAGAATAAGCATATTTTTATATTAAATTAATATTCTTATGCTCCCGAAGAAGCATAACCACTAAATTATATATATTCTAAGAAAATATGGCGTCGATATTCATGAAGAAATACAAATCACATTAATACCGTATTGTGTTTTCGAAGAAGCACAAATGTATATGTATCAATATTCTAAAGGAATATTATGATTTATTAATATTCAAGAAAAATATCATTTTGATACTCGTGAAGAATCAATATGCGTTATGTGGGAGATTAAAATTTTACTATTAGTAGTAATTTATTCTCAACTAAATTGAAGAGAATCATACTAAGTTTCTAAAAAATGTGCCATGAACTATATTGAACCACAAGTTCAATTACTGAACATATTATTGTTTGACACAAATCAGTTGGACCATTACTCCATTAATAATGTTGCGAAATTGAGAACTCAAACATTCAATAAAGAACCAAAAAATTCTTCAATTCAATGAATTACTATATGATGCTTGTTCTCTTTATTGAAAATTAGTTATTAACCATCACTAGTTAAAATATGGACTAAATTATCTATTTTTGAAAATAATTTTGGGTGATATATAGGGCTCGTCACCCCCCATTTTGATCATCTATTATTATTTGTATCTATTAGACAATTGCATGATATTTGCAACCTAAAGTCTGTAAAATTACTATTTAAATTTTAAATTATGAACATGATTTTCAAATTATACAATTAAGACATTGTGTCATGTTAATATTAATAAGCCTAAATCTCGACATTTTAATAATTGATAGTTGTGATGGCGATAAATGACTTAACACTATTGTTTGCTACATATCTTTAATAAATTTTGAAATATTACCATTGAGAACAAAGTGTTTCCCGTCTCTATCTAGGGAATGCTCTTAGAATCATGTCAATATCAAAATTTTCTCTACTGTATTTTATTTATGGTCAGAGTCCAATTTTTTCATCTAATTATTTTGATAGTGCAATGTATGTACAATTGATTCACTACAATGTACTGAGGTGAAAAGTAAAAAAATGTTGAGAATAAACGCATAGTTTGAACTGTTATACGCTATCTCAAGCCTTAAGAATAATATTTTTATAGCGCGATTTGCTGATTGTCAATTTAACTGAACAATTGTCTCAACATTATGAAAAAATTCAGAAACTAAAATAACGTACAAATGCACATTATATCATCTAGATTTTTGTAAAAGGTAGTTCGAAAAATAATTTATTCAAGTGTATTTACTGCTAAAAAGATCAACAATATCTCTCACACCAGTTTTAAATAATCTAAGATGAATCGCTGTCCTTCGAGGCACGGCTAAAGTGTGAATATATTCAATTCTAGAACAAAAATTTACAAAAAATAAAAATAAAAAATAAAAATGGAGCAAATAAGGAAGATGGTCCCATTTAAAAGATGTATACGATTCAAAAATATATAGACATAACTAATTATAAAACTCTAGAAAAGGTCAAGTATTTGAGATATTGAAAATCGAATTATATTAATGAATTATGTCTTTATGAGAAAAAGAAATTGAACC